TCGTTTAGTTTGCTCTTAAATGTCCCTTAGTTTGTTGTTAAATATCGTTTAGTTTGTTCTCAACGATCGCTTAGTTTGTTCTTAAATGACGCTTAATTTGTTGTTAAATATCGCTTTCGCTGAGTATTAAATGACCAAAAACTAGAGTTACTTTCGGCCGGTGGCCGAAAGTCTAAGTCAATTTCGGCCGAAACCGAAGAAAAACCGAAAGTTAACTTTTCTCTTTCAGCCGAAACCGAAATAAAGCCGAAAGTTAACTTTTCAGTTTCGGCCGAAACCGAAACTTGGCCGAAAGTGATCAAATGGCCACTTTCGGCGCCGAAACCGAAGCCGAAGCCGAAATTCGGTCGGTCTCTATTTCACGGTTTTATTTCTCAAACAATGGTTGTGAGACATTTGCTGATTCCCAAAAGCAAGAGCCTGTATGTTTTAAATCACTCGAACTTTTCTTCTCTCCTTAAAGTTTAGCTTTTCTATTTCACCCCCCCCCCTTCCCAAGCATCGTTACGAAGCACGGGCATTCGGCTAGTTTTACTTATAAATCTCTATATTTTATTTGTCTCCTTCCTTTAAACAAAATATAAATTTTAATCTTTTGATTAGAGTACACACAGTTTAGAAGCGATTCAAAATATCGGTAGATTCATGCTTAGTGTTTAACAATGGCATGATTTTGCAATGAAAACATTTCGCTTTGTCTTGATGTCATGGATAGGTAGCCAAAGTAAAACATGATCTAAGGGTAAACCTGAAAATAAAAAAAATAAAAATTATTAAAAAATTATTGATTGCTCTTTAAAATTAATTATTTTCAAGGTTTTAATTTTAACATAATTACAATTTGTTGTGAGAGTAAATGGTTCTTTATTGTAATGTAGGAAAAGGATATTAAAATTAGAATATATTTTGTGTTTTCTGTAGCAGCGTTCCAGGAACTGTGGGCCACGGACCACCACTCATACGCTAGCTTTACACTGCTGCTTCGCACCATATGAATATTTATGCTCAAAGAAAAAGAAAACTTCATTAATACACCAGTGGAACCGACACCAGGCACAATTTCAAACCTTGTAGACCGGTCAATCAAAACTAAAGTTTGGGAAACGCTGACCGATAGGGCGGTAAGATACTTATTAAAACAATAATGGGCGAGGAAGGCTACGTGTTAACACAGACAGACGACATAAAACACGCTGCGGGAAAGCTGAAATAAACAGAAAATCGATGACAAACCTTAGGGACCCACTTAGTACCTGATATTGTCTAAATGTTCCCGAAGCCCACTCAGTAGCTGATATTGTCTAAATGTTCATGAAGTCCACTCAGTGGCTGATATTGTCTAAATGTTCATGAAGCCCACTCAGTAGCTGATATTGTCTAAATGTTCACGAAGCCCACTCAGTTACTGA